TTTTTTTATAAATACATGTTTAGGATTGGGTTTATTTATAAATTTGTATTAATTTAAATTATAGAGCCAAAGAGCCCCAAGGTCCAAGGCCCATTTTTTGATTAATAAAATATAAAAAAGGGACCCATGTGTCAAAAAAGTATAGCCGTGAGGCTATACTATTTCGAAATAAATATAAAATAAAAAAACCCGTGTATAGCCGCGCGGCTATACTATTTTGAAAAAAATAAATAAAAAATACTTGGGTATAGCCGCGCGGCGATACTATTTATAAATTATAACAAAGGCCCAGCCTAGCTCCTAGGCGCCCACATGTGAAAGCAAGTATAGCAGCCGAATCTTTTAAGTCCAACATAGAGACAAAATCCATGTTACAATTGTCTTCCGAATCCACAGTTCCACCTAAGTACATCCCGACCTTTTGATAATTAAGGGCATGTTTGGTATTCAACTTAAATTCAACTTTTTAAACTCAAAAATAGAATTTGAGTCCAAAACAAAGAAAACCTGTTTGGTATGTTTAAAAACTCAAACTCAAGAACAACTAAAAAACACCCCAATTATTAAAAACAAAAAATATCTATTTTTTAAGTTTTTTCCTAACAACACACAAGCTCAAATTTTTAAGATTTGAAAACAATTTTCAAGTTGAATACCAAACAAGTTTTTGAATCTTTAAAATAGATTTAAGAACTCCTTGTTTTTAAGAAAAATCAAAGTTTTGGAGTTCCCTATTTGAATAGGATATGAAAAGCCCCTAAATGATTTAAGAACTCCTTGTTTTAAAGAAAAATCAAAGTTTTTGAGTTCCCTATTTAAATAGGATATCAAACGTCTCCTAAATTTTTTTTGTGTAACTTTTATAATTCTATTGAGGCTTTTGCTATTTTCTCAGCCTGCTTCTTTTGTTTTTTTGTCTTCGTTTCTATTCTTTTTGCTTGTTTCCCTTGGTCCACATACCTAACTCCTATTTCCTTGTTTTGCCATCTATTTTGCAAGTTTTTAACTTGCAGATGCCTAGGTAAGTGCTTCAGGATTCGTTTTCTAGTGTTCTCGTTGGTTTGTCCTTCTGTCCTTTTTTGTTTGTTTACTTTACCCTTTAACCTTCTTGTTTAAATATCTAGTTGGTTTTCACTAGGTTTTCTTTTCATCGTTCTTTTTAGTTTCTTCAACCACTTTTTCTTTTTCTAATTTAGTTGCAGTTTTTTTCTTCCTGTTTTTTCTGATTTTCTTTTTCTCTTGTAGGTTGCTGATTTCGGTTATTGGCAATGCTATTTAGCTGAGCCGATTGAAGAGGTGTCCAAGATTCCTCTGTTTTTTTCTTCTTTTGTTTCCATGTGTTTGGTTCAGACCTCAAATCTTTTTTAAAGATTACGCTATTGCCTCCGCCTCTCACATTTGGGTTTCTGATGGTTTTGTTATCTTTTGTCTTTTAGGTTGCTTCTATAAATAGAATCATCTGCTCCAACAAAAAAACAAAAGAAACAAATTCTCTATTTTTTTGTGGGTTTTATGAGATTGTGTGGTGTGTATAACAAAGGAATCAATCGAAGCCCTAGAACGATACTACGTGACCACTGACTACATAAAATGTCTTTTTTTTTCAGGGGTAGTTACATTTTTGGTAACTGGAGTTAGGCTAGGAT